GTGCATGTGTTTGTTTCCCCCCCTTTTCACCAGTCTCATAAAGTTAAGGTTAGCCTCCCTCACCAGCCCTAGAGAATTATGTTTTACTTCCTCAGATAGAAAGTGATTAGCTTGCTAACTCCATGGATCTCTCTTAATCCCTGACCTGCTGAAGGTTGGTCCTTAAACCAGCAAGATATATTCTTAGACCATAATATCCCACACCAAAATAATATCTTTATCATGGACGCATCAAAGTATGGAATTCTCACAATAGTTTATGTTGTGCTAGTTAAATTCCAGCATGGATTTGGGAGGGGCTCACAAGGGAGGAGAGTGAATATTTCTTTGTGGCTACTGGTAGGCTAATCATGCTCCAGTGGATGAAGCCACACCCGTCCCATTCATGAGAATGTTCTGTTCAGTTGCACAGTCCACTTCTTCTTCTTTTTTTTTTTTTTTAATTTGCCTTGGTGGTTTGCCTGCATGTATGTCTGTGTGAGGGTTTTGGATCCCCTGGAACTGGAGTTATTGACAGTTATGCACTGTCATGTGAGAGCTGGGAATTGAACTGGGGTGCTTTGGAAGAACAGTCAGTGTTCTTAACTGCTGAGCCATCTCTCCAGCTCCCCCAGTCCACTTCTAATTAGTGTATTTGATATCTTGATTTTAAAGATTTTTAAATAATTTTATATTATAGATATTCAGATGCATATCTGATTTTTCTCCCATTCTGTGGGTGGCCTCTTCACTCAATTGACTCTTTGTTGTACAAAAAAATTTTCAGTTTAATGAAATCCCATTTATTTCACTTGGAATCCTATTTAGAAAGTCCTTACCTGTGTTTATAAACTGAAGTGCACTTACAAAATTTTCATTTAGAAATTTCTGGATATCAAGTTTTATGTTAAGGTTGTTAACCTATTTGGAGCTGAGTTTTGTGTGAAGTGAAAAATAAGCATCTGGTTTCATTTGTCTTCATTTTACAACTATGTTAGAAGGCTCTCTCTCTCTCCAGTCAAAATGGCTGTCATGAGGAATACAGCCTGGATGTAGGTAAAAGGGAGCCCTTGTGCTCTTGGTGAAAATGTAAACTAGTGCACACCTGGTAATCAGCCTGGAGGTTTCTAAAAAGTGGGGCTGAACAGATTGTTCAGCATTTATAAACATTGGCACCTCTTGCAAAATCCCTAGGCTGTATTCTCAGCATACACATGATATTTCAAACTGTAACTTCAGCTCCAGGAGTTCCAACATCTTCTGCACTTCATGGACACTTACAACCATGCAATATACAGACATACATACATGAACAATACCAATACAAACAAAAATAAATAAATATTTAAAAAATTTGGAATAGATTTACCATATAGCCCAGCTAGACCACTCCTGGGCATACGCCCAATGTAATTTGTATCTTATTATAAAAGATACTTGCACATCCATGTTCATGGCTGATCAATTCACAATAGGTAGGAAATAGAATCAACCTAGATATCCTTCAACTTATGAATGGATAGTGAAAATATGGTGTATCTACACAATGAAATATTCAGCTGTAGAGAAAACTGAAATCATGAAAATTTCATGTAAGTGGACAGAACTGGAAAAAAAATTATAGTGAGTGAGTTCATCCAGGCTCAAAAAGAGAAAACTGAAAGGTCTTTCTCATATGAGGTTCCTTTTATTTTTGTGTGTTTCTAACACTGAGTGTACGTGGAGGAGAAGAAAGCAAAAACAGGCTACTGGTGGGGAGGATTGTGGGGCTGTAGAATATGGATAAAATGAAAGTAGAGAGGACAATACTGAGGGCCAAGGGGATCAAAGAGGTGTGGGGGTGACAGAGATGGTAAAGAGGATCCAGAAAAAGGCTTAAACAAGACAAAGCACACATGAAAAAGGTCTTTGGGCACCTATGATCTTGTAATCCACACACACACACACACACACACACACACATATATATATAGTCACTACACATATGCTATAATATAAATAGTGAAAGGGGATAATGGCACATATGTTATATAAATGAACAGCGAGAAAATGTTGGAAGTGATGTGGATGGAGCATTGGGAAAGGAGGGTTAGGAACTGTGTTAACTAAAGACATGTGAAGAAGCATTATGAAACAACACTAGCTTGTAATCTAATTGAAAATACATTTTTCTTGGAAGGAGTGGGGAACAGAGCCTTACTAGGTAGCCCTTGTTAGTCTGGAGCTCTGTATATAGACCAGGCTAGCCACAAACTCACAAAGATCTAAACAAGCAGAAGTACCACACATTAGTGAACAATGCTGCTCCCAAAAAGCCATGAGGAACTAAATGAAAATGTCAGTGTCAGGCACATGTCACTACCATATAAGTTATTGGTCAGAAGGCTTCAGTAGCACCCCAAACAATATACGCTATTGCCATTGCTCTGAGTTACCAACAATAACTAGATAATAAAATCCTACTGTGTTGAACACAGACAGACAGACAGACAGACACACACACACACACACACACACACACACACACACACACACACACACACTTTGGTTGTAGGACACCTGGAAACCAAACATGAGCTAATCCTGGAACTCCTAGGTAGCTATCTTTCATAGTGCTGAATGGTACTGTGAAAGTTGCTGGGAGAGAAGAGGCATTAAAGAAGTCATCCTGAGCTGAACCCTGGATGCTACAATACTGATATGACAGACAAGATGTGTCTACTGGAAAGAATGTTTATGAAGCTAAGAAACTGCTGTCAATGAAATTTCAGGCCTGCTGCAGAAGAGGGAAGTTATGTCTGGTAATTTAACATGGTTAAAACCTATGGTTAGGGATGCCATAGAGCCTACAGGAGAACCTATTGATGATGTTTTTCTATATGGTTATGTCGACACACTCACAGCCTTCTAAATATGTGTGCTTCTGTTCATAGATGTCTGCTGTTCCCAATCTGGGCCAAAGGAGCTTCTTACTATAGCCAGGGTAGTTAATACAGAGAAACATTACTATTTAAATTATGAAAATAACTTTGTATACTCAACCATAGTTGAGACATTGTATCTACCTTCCATTCCCAAGGCTAAGGAAATTTGGGGTGAAAATGTAAGAGCTGGTGGATGGGGAACAGTACTCTGAAATGCTGTTCTGCACCTGACATGGCTGTTGTTTACATGACATAACAATAAATCTGCTTATGCACACAAGGTCTGCATGAGATCATGCCAGTGAAAAATTCAAGCAATGGGCTTGGGAGTGTTTTCCAAAGCTCCATCCTTAACCAAGAAGCTAGATATTCTTTCTTTAAGATATATTTGTTTTAAATGACTTGACAGATTTTGATGATCCCTCCTAGAAGGCATCATCCTCCCTGTGGAGTGGGGATGGAGTGGGATGTGAGGAGGGTTGGGGGTCATGGGAGGAAGGGAGGGAGAGGGAACTGGGATCGATATGTAAATAAGAAAAAATAATAAATATATATAAAAAACAAACAAACAAAAAGATTTATTTGTTTTATATGTCTCTGTGCATGTCTGTGTGTATATCACCTGTGTGTAGGCTCTAGAGGCCAGAAGAGACTGTCAAGTTCACAGGAGTTAGACTTATATAGCTGTCAGTGAGCTGCCCAACCTGGCTGTGGAGACAGAATCAGGGTCCTCTGCAAAAGTATTTTTGACAGCTGAGTCATCTCTTGTGACCTAAACTTTCCTTTAATTTGGTATTTATCTATTTTCTTTTCAACTTCTACTAGAAAATTAAAAGTCCACTGTTCTAAATACTCTCACTCAGAGCTTTAAAAAATTCAATTCACTTACAAATAATAGTATACTATTTCATACACAATGTAAGTATTTTATCCTTTCCAAGTTGGTCTTTCTGAATATGTAGATGCTCACTATTTTACTTATCAGTGTACTTACCTAGTACACTGTTACTATTCCCTTCAATTTAAGCATGAATATGAATCTGAGGGAATTTTAAAAAGTAAACATTTTCTTTGTAGCATTTACTACATAGCAGAATAAAAAAAGTCAACATTCAATAAGCAATATCATTTCTCTATTCCCATAAGACTGGGGTGAAACAGAAAACCAGAAATAAAATCACATTCATAGCAACATGAAAAGAACTAGAAATAAAAGATCTCAACAATGAAAACGTCAAATGGTAAAGAAACTGAATACTCAAGTCCACGGATTGCCAGAAATAATACGGAAATACTTCCCCCCCCAAAGAATGTCATCTGGTAAATACTGACTAAATACTTCCAGTCTCAATTTCTTGTATTTCGAGAAGTAGCTCAGAGCACACAAACTTACAACAATGCAATCGCAAGCACCTGATCCTCTTCACAGGACTGATGAACACTAGGTTTAGCAAAGCTTTTTTTTAAAAAATCCGAATTTTGGCATCAGAAACGGTTAAAGAAAAAAAAAATCAAATTTAAATTTCTCTCCTCCTTCCTCTCAGATTGGGAATTTTGGCCCACTCTCACAAAGGGCACAATCTAATTATCGTTAAAAGGGCAGAACACACACACACACACACACACACACACACACACACACACACACACAGAAAGAGAGAGATCTGATTGATGAGATGAGATTTGGGGATGTAGTCTAAAGCCAAAGCCCTGTCCTGCTCAACTGTAGTACTAAAGAGAATATAATTCAGAAAGCTGAAGACAGGAAAAATCTAAAGCAGAGCCGACATACCTGTATGGGCAGAAGAGCAGCAGCTCACACCACCCACGTCCCCTCACATCAGTCTGGACTCAGTGCCACCAACCTGCCAGCGCTGCCGTATGTCCGGAGGCGCAAACCCCAAGAAGACAGGGACGAAGTGGCTTCCGTGGGACAGAACAGGGCGGGATGCGGTGCCCGGCAGCTGCTCTGCACACAATCCCAGTGCACTGGGGATCAGCGAGCCAGGGTAACCCGGCTGGACAGCACCAGCGCCGCAGCCTCTTCAGAATCACAACTCTGCCACGGACGACCCCAGGAGCCCAGGGCATACTCACCATTTCCTCTTTCAGATGCATCCAGGTGTTCTTCCTAATCGGCCTAAAATCGGGACAGGAGGTCTATCTAGATCGAACACCACAGGATTTCACAACAACATAGGCTCAAACATGGCGGCAAGGGCGGGCCCTTCCGAATATACGTGCTCCTCATTGGACAGTCCGTGACGGGCAGTAACAGAGTCCCTGATTGAAAAAGATACGGACAGCCTTGACTTTAATTCAGCACATCCTGAATTACTAGCGCAGGTAGAAAGGCAGATTCCATTCTGCTCCTTTTTGTTTGTTTGTTTGTTTGTTTGTTTGTTTAAAGGTTGACTAAGCCTATTCTGATCAGGTTTATAGCTTTTCATTTAAGGGGACCATGCTCCGAACTTTTTGGTGCACACACTCTCTTTATGAGAACTCGGGTTGGAGAGGTGGGTGGAGGTGGGGAGGCCAGTATTGCTTTGATCACAAGCAGTGCCCAAATTTGCTCTGGACATTCCCGCTTCCAGTCCTCAATGGAAAAACCATAGAGTGAGCGTAAAAGGTCTATCCAGAGACAGGAACAAGGAGGGCCTGCTATGCAAACACAAGAATTTGGAATGAGGTAAATGTGTTGTAAAGCTGTCTCACACCTTACGTTTCAACTTATCCACTTTGTTTTCATTGTTGTTTTTGAGACAGAGTCTCTCAGTTATGTAACTCTGGTTGTCCAAGAACTATGAAGAACAGGCTTGTCACAACTCACAGTGAGCCTTTGCCTCCAGAGTGCCCTGATTTAAAGGGGTCACTTTGCACTCCCACTCAACAAATACATTTTTTACCAAGAAAACTAAAGCAATAATCAACGTATACAATTAATGAATTACAGAAAAATGACATTGCATAGCTGCATTATTCAACATAGAATTCAATACATATAAAGAATAACCATTGAATTTAGACAGAAAATTTCCTTGGCCCACAAATGAACCATACTCATAAGCCGCCGGATCATACTGATACGGTCCTTCCCTAGTGATCAGACAGAGACACCTAAGAGCTCACCATGCCTTCCATTGTTTCCTCTGTCAAGAAACCATTCCAACACCTTAGTATCCACAAGAGGGACAATATTATCTACACAGCATTGTCATTAAAGTGTTGTTTTAGGTGAGGTGATTTGCGTCTGGAGAGCAGGTTATTGTGCCTCTTTGCAGTGACTTGTACAGAGACAGAGGTAAATATGGAGGAGCCTAGATACGTATCATATATGTACGGTGGTCTGGCTCTTAGACAGCAAAGCGGGGGTGGTGGAAAGGGGCAGAAGGGAGGGCTTTTGGGGGGTCATTAACACACTAGGCATCTCTTCCTAGGTCTTATAATGGTACTTTTCCAAGATGGCTATATTGGGCGAATGAAGCTCAGATATATTTAGGGCTCCCAGACTCTCAGCTGCGTTTTATACATGCATCCCTCAAACCTCATGTAGTTTCTACATTTTATGCCTCAACTCACCTGTGATTGCTGTGGTCCCCAAAAGCTTTTGGGGCTGCAGAAGGAGTATTCCTTACTGGTAGTGGACATAACCACTACATAAGAGGGTGCTCAGGAGTCACTAGGTTATCTGTTTCAACAGAAGGCTTTGGGTTTTCTGTTCTAGCAGTGAGGCTTCAGCTTATTTTTCCATATAAAGTTGATTATTTTCCTTTCAAAGTCAGTGAAGAATTGTGTAGGGATTTTGATGGGGATTGCATTGAATCTGTAGATTGCTTTTGGCAAGATTGCTATTTTTACTGTTTATCCTACTTATCCAAGAGCATGGGAGATCTTTGCATTTTCTGGTATCTTCTTATTTTCTTTCTTTAAAGACACAAAGTTCTTGCTTTCAGTTGTTTGGTAAGCATTACCCAAAGTACTTTATGTTGTTTGTGGCTATTGTAAAGGGTGTTGTTTCTCTGATTTCTTTCTCAGCTCCCTTATCATCTGTATATAGTAGAACTACTGATTTTTTCTAGTTTATCTTGTATCCTGCTAGTTTGCTGAAGGTGTTTATCACTGTAGGAGTTCCCTGGGGGAGTTTATTGGGTCGCTTATGTAAACTATCATATCATCTGCAAATAGTGATTGTTTGACTTCTTCTTTTCCAATTTGCATCCCCTTAATCTCCTTTTGTTGTCTTATTGCTTTAGCTAGAACTTCAAGTACAATATTGAAGAGATACAGAGTGGGCAGCCTTGCCTTGTTCCTGATTTTAGAGAAATCGCCTTAAATTTCTCTCCATTCAGTTTGATGTTGGCTGTTGGTTTACTGTATATTGTTTTTATTATGTTGATGTATATTCCTGTTATCCCTGATCTCTCCAAGACCTTTATCATGAAAGGGTGTTGAATTTTGTCAGAGGCTTTTTCAGCATCTAGTGAGATGATCATGTGTTTTTTTTTTTCAGTTTGTTTATATGATGTATTACATTGATAGATTTTTGTGTGCTGCAACCCAGGGTGGATGATTTCTCTGATGTGTTCTTGGAATTGCTTTGCAAGTACTTTATTGAGTATTTTTGCATCAATGTTCATGAGGGATATTGGTCTGTAGTTTTCTTTCTTAGTTGTATCTTTTTGTGGCTTGGTTACCAAGGTAATTGTAGCCTTGTAAAAAACAGTTTGGTAATTAACCTTCTGCTTCTATTGTGTGGAATAATTTGAGGAGTATTGGTATTAGCTCTTCTTTGGATTTGTGGTAGAATTCTGCACTGAAGCCATCTGGCCCTGGGTTTTTTTGTTTGGTAGGCTTTTGATGACGGCTTCTATTTCATTTGGGGTTATCGGTGCATTTAAGTTGCTTATCTGTTCTTGATTTAATTTTGGTAAGTGAGAGTAATCCAGAAATTTGTCCATCTCCTTTGAATTTTCAAATTTTGCATGTTATTTCTCTGCTTTTTGGTTGGTTTTGATACACATTTGTCTATCTTGTTGATTTTCTTTAAAAAAAACCCAACTCTTTGTTACATTGATTCTTTCTATTGTTTTCCTACTTTCAACTTTATTGATTTCAGCCCTCAAATTGATTATTTCCTGGCATCTACTCCTCCGGGGTGAGTTTGCTTTTTTGTGTTCTAAGACTTTCAGTTGTGCTGTTAATTCTTTAATGTGACTATCTTCCGTTTTTTCCATATGGGCACTTAGTGCAATGGACTTCTCTCGTAGGACTGCTTTCAAAGTGTCCCATTTCAGTTAAGTTGTATCTTCATTCTCATTGAATTCCAGGAAGTTTTTTATTTTACTCCTTTATTTCTTCTTTGACCCAGGTATGGTGCAATTGCGCGTTGTTCAGTTTTCATGAGTTTGTAGGGTTTCTGCAATTTGTGTTGTTGTTGAATTCCAACTTTAAAGCATGGTGGTCTGATAAGATACAGGGGACTATTCCAATTCTTTTGTATCTGTTAGTGTTGGCATGTTGCCTAGTGTGTGGTCGATTTTAGAGCTGAAAAGAAGATACAGTCTTCTGTGTTTAGATGAAATGTTCTATAGATGTCTGTTAAACTCAATTGGGACATAACTTCTGTTAGTTCTTTTGTTTCTTTGTAATTTTCTGTCTGGTGGTCCTTTCTAGTGGTCAGAGTTGGGTGTTGAAGTCTACCACTGTGAGTATGTAAGGTTTTATGTGAACTTTGAGTTTTAGTAGCATTTCTTTTATGAATGTGGGTGCCTTTGTATTTGGGGCATAGATGTTCACAATTGAGACTTTGTACTGATGGATTTCTCCTGTGATGAATATGAGTTGACCTTCTTCATCTCTTTTGATTGATTTTGGTTTGAAGTCTAACTTGTTAGATATTAGGATATCTACACCTTCTTGCTTTTTGAGTCCATTTGATTGGAAGATCTTTCCCCAACCGTTTACCCTGAGGTAATGTCTGTCTTTGAAGCTTAGATGTGTTTCTAGTATGCAGCAGAAGGATGCATTCTGTCTTTGTATCCATTCTGTTAGCCTGTGCCTTTTTATAGGCAAGTTAAGCCCATTAATGTTGAGGGAAAGTAGGGACCACTGATTGTTAATTCTTGTTTGTTTTAGATTTGTTGTTGTTGGTTGTATTGTGCATATATTTGCCCTGCTTTATCCTTTGGGTTCTGGTCAAGTGGGATTATCTATTGCCTATATCTTTGTGAGTGTAGATAACTTCATTGGGTTGGAGTTTTCCTTCCAGAATGTTCTGTAGGGCTCGATTTGTAGATGCATATTGTGAAGATCTAGCTTTGTCATTGAATATCTTGTTTTCTCTGTCTATAATGATTGAAAGTTTTGCTGGGTATTGTAGCCTGGGCTGACATCTGTGGGCTCTTAGTACTTGTGGAACATCTGTCCAGGACCTTCTGGCCTTGAGAGCTTCCATGGAGAAGTCAGATGTAATTTTGATAGGTCTGCCTTCATATGTTACCTGGCCTTTTTCCTTTGATGTTCTTAATAGTCTTTCTTTATTCTGTACGTTAGGTGTTTTGATTATCTGCCGAGGGGTGTTTTTTCTTTGGTCCAGTCTATTTGGTATGCTTCTTGTATTTTCATAGGCATGTCCTTCTTCAGATTGGGAAAGTTTTCTTCAATGATTTTGTTTAATATGTTTTCTGCACCTTTGAGCTGGGCTTCTTCACCTTCTCCTTGCCTGTTATTCTTAGGTTTGGCCTTTTCACAGCATCCCACATTTTCTGAATGCTTTGAGTTAAGGATTTGTTGGATTTAAGATTTTCTTTGGTCGATGAATCTATTTCCTGAAGTTTATCTTCAGCCCTTGAGATTTTTCTCTTCAATCTCTTGTATTCTGTTGGTTATGCTTGCATCTGTAGTTCCTGATTGTTTGCCCAGTTTTTCTATTTACAGCATTCCCTTCATTTGTGTTTTCTTTTCTTTTTCTTTTTTTTTAATAGAAAACTTGATTACAATTGATCATTTCTTTTCTTTTTTTATTTTTTAAGATTTATTTATTATGTATACAACATTCAGCCTGCATGTATCCACTGCAGGCCAGAAGAGGGCACCAGATCTCATTATAGATGGTTGTGAGCCACCATGTGGTTGCTGGGAATTGAATTCAG